TTGGGATATTTTTAGGGGTGCTCATTAGTATGGACAGTACGTGACAAAAATGAACTAAACAAGCATTCTATCAAGAGGAAGAAGGGGAATTTGCTTCACTTGTCAGTCTAGCGTCGTCAGTGTTGGACCATCCACGTTAGTATTCTTCAGAGGTGTGCAAATTACTGATGTTGCGTCGTATAAGTTCGGGATACTTTACTCTCCTCAGTTTGGGCTGCGATCTAAAACAATATTATATTTTTCATCTTGATTTAACTTCTGTCATGCTCAGAAATGTGGGTCTGTGTGTTGAATGAATTGTATTCCTCCTGCATATATACACATGATCGCTTCTAGCTTCTGATTCAAGTAAGTCAATTTGTAAGTGTTCTATTTTGTTTAGAACAAATGTACATGTACGGCATTGTCTTCAAAAGCTATACTTGGTAATTGCCTCAACTTTATGAAAGATATATTTTGTTTTGCAATAATTGCTACATTTACAGTGGGTCAGTTGAGAGGCCGATCAAATCCAGAGAGAAAATATTGACTGTTTTGTGTTCTGTTAGAAATCATTGTGTGATGTGAGGAAAATAGCCTGTTTGTTGTAGTTTTGTTGGCTGCGATAGTAATAAGGAGGCTGGTGTTACTGCCTCCCAGATTGAAATGAAACCTATACCCATGTGCACTAGCCTTGGAAGGGGTCACCCCAGCTTATTCTGTAGTTGAAATGGCTGACTGAACGTAATTCATTAGATGTGCGCAGAGTGTTGCCATTTTAAAGGGTCCTAAATCAAATCTTAACCTACGGCTGCACAACAGCATAGTAAGTATGGTAGGGAGGTGGCCCTCTGACCAGAGGTCCCTGTTTTTAAATAACCCTGCAGAGAAGCGTCTGACATGCTGAAGTGCCCTTGAGCAGGACGATGAACCTTTACTAGCCTGTCTGTAGCTGAGGCTGCAGTGAAGTAGAAAAGAAATTCCTCCAATTTTTTATTTTTTCTTAAACTTGATTGACTTAGACAGATAGATAGGTTTATGGATTTATATTTATGTGATATTTCTCCCCTATTTCTTGGTGGCCAGCACTGCTGCGGCCTGAGCTCAGCGAGGGAATTTAAGAACTAAATTCCACCCAATTATGCCTTTGTGTTCTCTGACTTAAGGTCATAATGGTGAGTGCAAGAATTAAGATCAGCAGGCATTGTATAGTTTCACATTTTTTTCCAGGCCGATGAAGCGGGCATCTCTGGGTAGGCATGCAACCCATTTATGTTCTGCTGTAGATAGCTGAATGGGTACAGTGTGCACTGCGTGTAATGTTTATAAGCCTCTGTTGACTGACACTGACTTGCAAAAGTACGTGTCAGATTGTTTGACTTGAGTGGCAAACTCGTATCCCCTATGTATTTAGGATCAGAGTAGTAGGAAGATTACGATCAGTTTCTCCCCGGCTGTGATCGTGCCCTGAGGAGACCCTAAAGTTCACGGCACTACAACTTTGCTGACCGAGTGAAGGTATTTCACTGTAGGTTTGGATTGCACAGTGCTCTTAACAATGTTCAAATGGCCTATTGAGCTGCTCAGCTGCTTACTAATGACCTCAAAGTGATACCACTTCACCCATCCCTTCAAAGAGCATCAACCTTTAAACAGAAACACTGCTTTCTCCTGAACGGTCCAAATTTGAACACTAGAAACTCTCTTGTGAATTACTAGTGAGTACTACAGGAGCTCAATAATGGGAATCGGATCAAAAGAAAATATACAGAGCTGTACTGCAGTCATCAAACTGAAGGCAAAATCTGTGCTTACTGTCAACAGTGTTTGTTTCAGTTGGAGTTTTGCAAAGACCTAGATTACACTTTCTTACATGTTCTCTTTCTTTCATCGTTGCTTCCTTCCTTCCTTTCTTTCTTATTTTATATATTTACTTTAGAAAATAAAGAAGCTAGTCTAATGTTGTTTGGGGTTGCAGGCTGCTCCTAATGTCTTTCTAAATGTGCCCATTTGGATCTATTGAACAGCACTGAGCTTCTTGCTAATGACCTTAGTGTGATAACGCTTCAGTTCCTTCCTTTAAGTCTCTGCCTTGACTGTCTAGACACACACGTACACAAACATATAAATACAGATGGAAATATATAGGCACTGAAACGCAGCCAAACTGTTCTCACACATACGGTGAAACAGGCATGCCTAAACATCATTCTGCTTCAGCTGTTTAGACAGACATACCTGGGAAAACCACCTCCTATACACACATACTCACAGTCACAGAATCATGTGTGCATGCGCGGATAGTCTGTTTCTCACTGTGTTCAGCTTCAATCCTTTTCTTTACGAGCAAAAGCTGCTGCTCTTGTTCAATCTTATAAACAAACTCCACTTCTCCGAATTTTTTTTCCGTATGATTGAAGGAAACCAAAAACAGAAGAAGTAATTCCGCTTAAGTCTCAAAGCCTCTGAGTGTATATCTTTGATTAACAGCTAAACCAGCTGGGCCATGGAGATGCATCTTGAGAACAACCACCGTGTGCTTGGGACTGTAGTTTACAAGCTGAGGATGGACAGTTTTATGTTAGAAGTGTATTAAAGAAAAAGGATATTGACCAGCTGGCATTTCAATGTTTACTGGCGGATGAATCCCCATCATGGATCAAGGGTGAATCCCCGTTAAATTTGGTTTTGCAAAGAGAATCAATGCTGATATAGCGATATTGTTTCAACATTTCATAAACTACGAGTTTCCTTTTCGTTGGCCACATCATTTTCACTGCTCACTGAAAGGAGTAAAACACACACAAAAAATCCAGCTGGTCTGATAGATAAACTCAGTTTGACACAATATATCAGTGCAGACACAAACAACCAGTTTATCTTATTTTCATTGATCATACTTGACCACTTCTGACTCTAGCAAATGTGTTCATTGTAAACTCAACATTGTAAAGTAGCCAACAGTTTAACACAAAATATTATTACAAAATTCAGAACAAAATCTGACATTTTGAAACAATTGCTGACTCATTGGTTTATTACAGGTGTGCAATTTGTAGCAGGTAAATATATGCAAATATGATACACAAACACATCAGCAAATGAAGTGCAATGGTTTATTGATGCTCCCTGGGATTTGTTGTTAGCCAGGAATTAATACCTCACAATGCTGTTGTACCTCTTTCTCCCATTATCTCGAGCCATTTTAAAAAGACTAAACATTGCCAGAGGCTGCAACACTCAGGGTGTAATGAGATAGTAAAATGCTTTCCAACGGTCTGAGTCTCATATTTATTGAGCTACATCTTGAATGTAAATTGCTGATGTCAAAGATGAACATGGTTTTTTTTCTTTTTAATATTAGCCTGACTGCACATCAGTTTGTTTTAAAGATTGTGATTGTGCACGGATACATTCAGACATTTGTATGATTACACATTCATACAGCTTTCCATGGCTTCTTGTCGTGATGGCAGTTAATCCCTCAGATTGTTTCATATCCTTTTACATTATTTGAACATTTGCTAGACATTTTTATTTTGACAAAGCACGACCAAAGGCTTAGCCATGCACAGCTGAGTCTGGCGTGTTAAAATGTTTTTCTACATCCTTATCACCTGCGGTAAGGTTTTTCTTCGCTGTGCTGTTATAAACCATGTGATGGATTCTCATCGGCAGCATCTCATGTTCATGGTTCATAATAGTTCTCTAACACACCAGGAACTCACTGATTGAGACCATTTTTTCTGAACAGGGGAAATCTACCTTCTCCCATTCTGTCAGGAAAATGATCTACAGCTAATAAATAATTGACAAGCAGCAAATAATAGAATACCAGTATTACAGCATTTCAGAGGCACAGCAGATTGATGATCCAGTGCTGTATGCATGCAACTACAACCACAAACGTGTCTGCGAGTTAGGCGGTAAACACCCAATTTCGTAGTGTTCAGCTGCAGAATGGTGTGGTGCAGGGTGCGTAGCTCCCAGAGGTGATTTGTGTGAATGTAAAGGAGGATGCTGTCAAATAAAAGCAAGGGGGCTTTCAATTTCAGAGTTCTCTTCTTTTTCTCTGCTCCCATTCATTAAAGATGGAATATTTTGAAACACCAAAATGTCACTGAAAAATGAATATACCTTTGGCATAGCAGCTCCCGTTAATAGTAATAATATTAATAATAATATTTAATAATAAGTAAGATGATAGTGACAGTCAAGAACTCTGGTTGTCTTTCTCCCATGCTGGTTTTATCATTAGTACAAAATATTTCCTCCCACATTTGTTGCTCTTTCTATTAATTATTTTCTTTTTATGTTAATTAAAAAGCATAACTTGTATGATTTCCCAATGGTATGATTCATTTCACATTCTGGCACATCGGGGATTCCCCAGAGTTTCTGGGTTCGATGATGCTCTCCGTTTAATCAGTTATCAATACATTTTGTATGTTGTATTTGCAAATGCCCATTTGACAACCAATTGAAGCACTATAGAGTAGTACTGTCGAGAGCATGTTAGTGCTGCATTGTTTCAGTCATGAAGGTAATTGAGAAGAAAACCTTTTTAAAAAAGAAAACTTTTGCACTGTTTGGACTGGGATAATAGAAGTTTTCTTTCTATTTTCTGCTCAAAAATGGTTTTCCACTTTGCTGTAATTATCATCATTATTAATAATCATGGCATGAAGTCATGACTTAACAACTGGAGTCATGAGGTCTGCCAGTCTTTTCAAAATAGTGTTTTCTGTTTACAAAATGTTACTTTTAATGTATTGTTATTCACATGCAGCCCCTAACATCATATAGTTTGTGAAACTCCCACTTCAATACCCCAGTGATATAAGCATTAGTTTTTATTGCTGGAAATTGTAAGGATGAAAAAAACATGAGACCATCCCAGGAATTAATAATAGCCCTCTTGTTGTTGTTTTCTTTCTTTTAACTTTTGTCTGTATTCTCACCTTTCCTAATTGTCTTTGTTTATAACTGTTTCTGCTCTTTTCCCCCTCTTGTAATTCTAGGTGATAAAGCTGTCATTTGAAGAGTTTGACATGGAAAGAGGATATGACACACTAACTGTGGGAGATGGAGGGAAAATAGGAGACACTCGGAGGGTACTCTATGTGTAAGCGACACTCGTGTGTTCTGGCCCACGATATAGTAATCTTGAAAATCAACAGTATAGAACACATTAACGGTTGCAATCAGAGAGACGATTGGAGAAACATGAACGCTATTCTGCAGATATACATTATATACTGTAGATTGTATTGTGTTAGCTACATTGTTTTGATGGATTTTTTGTTCACTCAACTACATCATGTATTAGTCCATCTAATAATTATTGTTATTTTATATTTGTAAATGATTAAAGTCCCCTCTAGTCAAAAGGAGAAAGTGACAAACCAATAATGCTTATTAACAATTTGTGTTACTGTGTATGTATTTACGTGTATGTGTGTGTGTGTGTGTGTGTATGTATGTCCGTGTGTTTGTGTAGACTTACCGGTTCCAGTGTCCCTGACCTCATCGTGAGCTTGTCCAATCAGATGTGGCTACACCTGCAGTCAGACGATACAATCGGCTCAGCAGGGTTCAAGGCAGTCTATGAAGGTATGCCCCCCCCCTACCCACATGTTTCTTTCTCTCTTTGTCTCTGAAAATAAAACACTCACACACATCCACACAAACAGATATATACGCTCACATAATGAAGTGTGAAAGTCATTGCGTTGCTGACGGAGTGATTCAATAGTGAACACAACGGCTGTTGTCTGTCCTTGTGTATACTTGTGAGTGTGTGTGCGGCTGCATTACAAGAAGGTAATAACTGAATTACGATTCAATCAGCTGATCGTTTTGCTTGGTTATTTTTCATATTACACCAAAGCTAACACTGATAGAGAGATAAAGATGGTGACAGTCACCGTGAGTGAAGGTGAGAGGGAGATATACAGTATAGATGTCCCTCTAAATACTTGATATTTAGAACAACCCATTTATTATATTTATATATTTTATTACCTACTGCATTTCACCATGCCAATGCAGCTCTTTAAACCATATTAAAGTAAATGGAGCACAACTTAATTGAATTTACTTGAGACTAAGAGTAAGACAGGTAGAGATATGTAATTTAATAAACATAGAGACAGAGGAAGAGGAACAACAAAAAAATGACAAAGTGGGACGAAAGGAGACAAAATGACAAATTGAGTAAGAGGAAATGAACTGTCGAGGAGAGATTGAGGGAATGTGAGAGAGAATGAGAGGGACAAAGGTTGTGCTCTTGGTTCTGCTCAGCTATGTTTGATTCAGTGATGTTGCTGACAGTGTTGTCCGGGGTCACTTACTGTTCAAGGGAATCAGCACAGTGTGGCTACAGAAACCGCATGCAACTGTAACTGTAAGTAAGTGGCGTAGAACATCATATTACAAATTCCCTTGGCTAGGCTAAGAAGGTGCTGACATTGATTTTGTTAGGTTAACATTTGCACAACAGTTAGGGCCGTTTTCCTCTTTACAACTTGCCTTAAGTGATTAAAAAAGGGCCACCTTAATTATATGACATTTATTTTAAGGCAATGACACATTATAAACTCACATAAAAAATAAGTAAGTAACAAACATAAAATCATACTTAATAACCTCTAGATGATCTTGTAGTTTTCCCCAGGACAACTGAACAACCGCCTGTGGTATGTTTTGTGTGCCTGTCCTTGCATGTATATATGAGATGCTGTCACATCATATCATTTCACCATGCTACACACTTTGATCAGAGTTACCCCCTGAGAGCCTTAGGTTTTCAGCCCTGCAGGGAAACGCAACACATGTAGTAGCTTTCTTGCTTTTGAATGCTGTCATGTTACACATGTCAATCACTACAGCTCTCTGAGTGTGTGCATGGAGAGAGAGAGAGAGAGAGAGAGAGAGAGAGAGAGAAATTTGGATTGAATATCTTGATGATTCCTCCATACTATCAGAAGTATAATTGTTACTTTATTAAAACATGGTGCATCCTTGTTCCATTACTGCAGATTTAATACCCTAACTACAAGCGCGACCAGCATGTTGCTTGTATTGTTTTTACCTTTTGAGACTGTGTGTTTGTGTGTGTGTGTCACCATGGCATGGCAAAATGTGGTCCTAGAAACACCTACTGTAGCGGGAACTACCACAAGCGGTGTTGAGTACTTTGCCAGGTGTTTATATGTTTGTCTATTTGTGCACAGATTTTGCCAGAATGATAGCATCACAGTTGTGCAAGATGCAGTCACAAAACTTTACAGGTATGAAGTTGAAATCAAAATAAAGACCAAGATGATGAAGATGGGTGTGGTCCGAGAAAGGGTGTTGAAAGTAGGGGAGTAGGAAGTGGGGAAACTTAACGCCTCTGGCCTGATTTGGCGTCGCAGCCGTTCTCTTGTCTTGACCGGGTTTTGATGTCGCGAAAATCAACCTCAAATTGCAAACAATTAAAGGTACAATCCCGAAGATCTCAGCTTCGTTCTCCTTGATGGCACTTTTGGTCATAAACTGTAATTGCAGGTGGGTTTTTGGATCTCACTTCCTGAATATGTGCATTCATAATACAAGAGCTTCCATCAGTGGGCCAAAGATTTAATCCCCGCTGTGACATGTCATTTGGTGATGGATAGTAACCTAACAGATATTTATTTAAATTAAATTCTTCTAGTTTGGTAGTGGTTTGCATTACAATGATTGCTGTTTGACAGCTGATACTCACACTAGCAGTTGGATAAACCAACAAAGTTAACATCTCCTGCATGCAGCTGCTTTAACATGTGATAATTGCATGACTTGATCATAACAACTTCAGAATGTAAATTGTGCACTGGGATTGATTACCCACATCAAGCATTTCCTGTTCTCCAAAATGAACTGAAACCAAATGTGGCTGGAATGTATTGAAATACAGCTAAGCCTGTATTTATGAATGTGTTTATGAATTTTGCTTCGAAACATGATTGGCAGTAATGCAAAGTGTAGGTTTGTAGTTAATTGGCTAACACACAAAAAAACGAATTGAAAGGTCCCTAAAATCAATGTGTTTTTTCTTTATTTTGCTTTATACCATTTGAATACAGTTATCCTCCATGCATTTTGTTTTATTTTCTTTCCTCAATTATGTATATTGCTTTGTTTAATATATGACTTTTGGAGAGGAAAAGAAACAGAAGCATAACATGTATTGAGTAGTAAATATATGCTCTGTACTTCAGTAAAAATCTTTCAACTTTGAAAGAAAGGAAAAGAAAATAATGACAGAAAAGAAGAACAAACTAAAAAAAGACTAAAAAGCGATCAAGAAAGATGCTACCACCATAATGACAGACTTACCAGGGGCTCAAGATCGTTGATATCCATCCTGACACTCATCAAGTGTGTGACAGGTAGCTCTGGGCCACACACACACACACACACACACACACACACTCTCACACACATACTTCTGCCACTTCTTTGAGTATTCTACTCTTGTGGGTGTACTTAGATCCCAATACATAGTAAAAGTGAAGAACACATGCGCACACACACACACACACACACACACACATACATTGCTCACCTTGAGATGTATTTGCCCAGAGCGAATCCAGGAGCATGGTGGAGCATGTGGTACAAGATGACAGCCGTCTGGTAGAATGTCAAATTTTAAAGGAAGGGAGAGAGGGAAGAGCAGTGTATAAAAACATACTGCTATTAGGGGAAGAAGGGATGAAAAAAAGACAGTGACAAAATGAATGGAATATGATTGTAGGCCAGTTTGGCAGTACTGCTAATGTGACACTCATGCCAAAAAGCAATGTATTGAATCAGATTGAGAGAGCGGGAGCAATAAGGAGAACATTGAACACAGTGGGAGCGGGGACAATTTGAAATAAGAACAGGCAAAAAAAGAGGGATGAAGATAGAGAAACAAAGAAAGGAACAACATGTGTGTTTGATAAGCAGTCATATATAATGTCACAAACATCAGTGTTGCTCTCTTTGATTTGTACCTCCTGCTGGTTTCTTAACAAGAGTATGCATGGATCAGTGTGTGTGTGTGTTTGCATCTACCTGTGTGCCTCCACTATTTGTTTTGCCTTTCACAATTAAAGCTGAATTACACTATAATTACCCTCATGACAATTAGCTGTAACAAGGGAAACAATCAAATTAATTTCTCAACGACTTTGTTTCTCTATACAACAGTGTCGATAATGGACACTTGGAATTTTTGCTTTGTTTTTTGATGGTCCACACAGCCGCATTGAAGCTGCTGCTAGTCCTTCTTTTAAGAAATGATAAGTTCTTACCATTTGTCAACCTGTTGACAAACAAGGGAAGAAGGTAGCCATTGTATATAGCCATATATTGTAAGTATGGCCTTTGTGTTTAGACAGCACACAAAGTCTGGTCACAGGCTGCAGATTCATTCAAAGATGCACACACATGTATGTTAACCCTAACCACAAGTCTGAAAGAGGTTTTTAAAAGTCACAGTTAAGAGACACAGAAGTAAAATTGGCAACTGCGACAGCCAGCAGTATTACATGAGGATGAACATAGCACACCACTTAAGCCCGAGCGCCCCGCTTTTTTGGGGGCTGTGGAGAAAGTTTAGCATATACCATCGGAAACAATGCACTTATCACGAACAAATATAATGATGTTGCACATCAAATTAAACAACAGAACCTGGGCTACAATAATATGTAAGCCGTGTTTACATGCTCCAAACACAACTCAAACACCAACTAAATGAATTACCAAATATCAAAATCCATATAGCACCACCTAGTCAATCCACTCGCCAAATTTCTGGCTCTACCGCTGTGGTACTTTATGCAATACACACACACAATATCTCAAAAGAAAGCAGACACTCCACAGATTCCGGACATATATCAAATCCAGCTACAACAAAGCATCAGGGAGATATGAACCAAAGAACACCAACAACAGAAATTGCTTCATCAAACGACAGTTGTAAAATCTGAACACGTGCTCCCTTTATTACAACACCAAAATTATTCAAATAGACCTTGTGGTTGCAGAGTTATGCTCCTTTTAGTATTTAGTATGGGTATGCAATTTTTGAGCAGAGGCCTAAAAAATAGGTCACTTTTTAAAGGGTTCATGCTTCAAGGTTGGAGGGAGACAACCAGGGGGCTCCCTGGAGAGGGCAAACAAGCTAAACTGTTTCTTCAATAGGTTAAGTTCACAGCTCTCATCTGTCGCCTCCACACACGACACCTCTGCTCCCCCCCTCCTTTGTCCCCCCTGGTGAGCTGCATGGACACAGAGCCCTCAACTTCAAAGGTGTCTTCCACCACTGATGCTTCAGGACCTGCGCCATCCAGCTGTCTGATGTCCTGCAACATCCAGCTGTCTGATGTCCTGCAACACCTCTTCAACCTGAGCCTGAAGCAAGACGAAGTCCGGGTGCTGTGGAAGACGTCTTGCCTGGTTCCTGTACCAAAGAAGACGACTCCATCTGGCCTCAACGACTACTGACCGGTTGCCCTCACATCTTATGTGATGAAGGTGCTGGAGAGGCTGGTCTTAGCCAACCACCGACCGCAGGTGAAATCCTCACTGGACCCTCTGCAATTTGCATACCAGCCTCATGTGGGAGTGGACACCGCCATCAAATCGCACCTGGACGGATCCGGTACATTCAACACCATCCAACCACTCCTGCTGAGTGAGAAGCTGTGTGTGGTGGGGGGGTAGACACGTCCACCGTCTCCTGGATCACTGACTACCTCACAGGCAGCCCACAGTTTGTCAGACTGAGCCGTGTGCTGTCTGATACGGTGGTCAGTGGTACTGGAGCCCCACAGGGAACTGTTCTGTCTCCCTTCTGTTCACCTTGTACACCACTGACGTCCAGTACAACTCAGGGTTATACCATCTGCAGAAGTTCTCTGATGACTCTGCAGTGGTCGGGTGTATAAGGGATGGACGGGAGGAGGAGTACAGGGCAGTAGTGGATGACTTTGTGGAGTGGGCCGGTAGAAATCACCTGCTTTTGAACGTGGCCAAGACCAGAGAGATGGTGGTCGACTTCAGGAGGAAGACGACGGCTCCACAACCGCTGAGAGTTCTGGGAGAGGATGTGGACATGGTGGAGGAGTACAAGTACCTCGGTGTCTCCATCGAAACAGACTGAACTGGAAGATCAACATCAACGCTGTTTACAGGAAGGGGATGAGTCGACTCTTTTTCTCGAGGAAACTTCGATCCATCCAGCAAGATGTTGGAGATGTTCTTCCATTCTGTTGTGGCCAGTGCACTTTACTTCGCCGTAGTCTGCTGGGGAGCAGCATTGGAGCCGGAGACAACAGACTTGACAAACTGGTTAAGAAGGCCGGCTCCATCATTGGCTGCAAACTGGACACTCTGGAAAAGGTGGTTAGGACACTGAAGAAACTACTATCCATATTGGACAACCTGGACCACCCTCTCCACCACCTACTGCAGGGACAGTGGAGAACTTTCTCCAACAGACTCATCCAGCTCTGCTGTCACAAGGACAGATACAGGAGAACATTCCTGCCCACTGCAATAAGACTTTACAATAAATCACCTCTGGCCAAATCATTCACAAGACTATAACACCGTTACACTGTTGTTTGTTTGGTTAAACCTTTGCACTACTGTTTAGTTAGTTCATTTAATATTATTCTATTTCATTGTATAAATTGTGCATTTTTTACATTTAATGTTTTTTACTGTTATTTTTACTGTATATACTGTGCATTTTTATACTCAATATTTTTTATTTTTTACTCTCATACTTAGATTGCTTACCTGTACCATAATTACTGCTGTAGCGCACAAATTTCCCCTTGCGGGATTAATAAAGTATCTATCTATCTATCTATCTATCATTACCATAAACACCAGCTACAGAATGTTCTGATTGGTCTCACAGACGATCTACAAATCAATGAATGCATTTTATTGCCATTTAATCCCACCTCACAAGTTAGAACAGACAACCCCTTATCTGAATGTCACCATGTCGCATGTTGACATTAATTAACAGCATAATGTGTTACAGAGATCGAACGTGGAGGCTGTGGTGATCCTGGGGTGCCGGCATTTGGTCGTCGTAGTGGTGATCGCTTTCAACATGGTGACGTGTTGACCTTCTTTTGCCAGTCAGCTTTTGAACTAGTGGGAGAGAGAACCATCACGTGCCAGCACAATAACCAGTGGTCTGGCAACAAACCCAGTTGTATCTGTAAGTACACATAGTCCATACAGACATAGTTATGTTGATTGATTTCCTGTTCATTTAGCATTATCATTCTTGCCTCTTTTTTTAATTGCTATATTTATTTGTCTTTGCTTTTTTTGCTTGCATTCATACCTAATTACCTATCAACTTGACCTCTTTCCTTCCTGCCTTTGTTCCTTCTTGTTTGTAGTTTCATGTTTCTTCAACTTCACGGCTCCATCAGGGACTATATTGTCCCCGAACTACCCAGAGGAGTATGGGAACAACCTGAACTGTGTGTGGTTGATTATCTCTGAACCGGGTAGCCGCATTCATCTCCTGTTTTCTGACTTTGACCTGGAGCCACAGTTCGACTGGTTGGTGATCAAAGATGAAGGTAATTGTATCTTAATATATCACAGTAATTTTGAAAACGTAGTTCCTAAATTAACACCTCAGGATATGCCTATATGCAAATTCTAAATTGCTGAAATATGGATGTGCATGTATTTTTTCTGAAATCGTCAAAAAGTTCAAATAATCTGGGGGTGCACTCTTTCTCAACTTAAGATAACTACAGATAACTTCTGATTGGGTTTGGTTGAGGAATGGCTAGCTGGCAAACTGGATGGAAAGTTGTAATATGTATTTTATTGTGCACTTTTCCTCTACACACAGAACACAGGGCAATTTGATCACCCATTGTAATCAAAGTTATTGATTTAAACTGAATCAACTAAAGCCCCTGTTTGACTGGCTTGTCATTAAAGATGAAGTTGTGCTAAATCGGCTGGCTGTAAACCTGTTCCTCTGCGGGGATGTTTTTTGGAGCAGGGTTTTGAAAATTGCAGGGCAATTAGTGCTGTTCCACTGGGCAAACTGAAATTGAAGTTGTTGCTTCAAAGTCTTCCAGTTTGCTCTGCTTAGTGATCGATCACTGCTGTCACATGGAAACAACACTGTATGTCTTCTTTTCAGAAATTAAAACGAAAAATGACTTACTCCATAACTGACATGCCCTCTTGAAAGTAATCAAGATTTCAAAGCCTTCATGAAATGTTCTGCCTCTGTAGACTTCTGTAAATACACTTTTTGATCAGATAAAGAAAGTTAGGTGAAAACCACAAAGGCTCTTTACTGTTGTAAGAAATATTGCATCAAAATTGTGTGAACTTTGAAGTAAAAAAAAAAAGAGTCAAATCAGTTAAATCTAAAAGTGCATTTAGTTTATATAGTACACCAAGACAGTACCTATGACAGAAGTTGGTTTTGTCCCACCATAAACAGGTGTTGGCTTGTAAATACCTTGTAAAGGATCAGTATCCGTTAATATGGCACCCATTAAATGATTACTAATTAGTGTTCAGAAGGTTAACTACTGTACAAGTGTGCATAATTTATTACTCTGCTTTTCAAAATCACACTGGACATATTTTTGAATTCATTTGAACGTAACTGCTGCACCACAGCACTCAACAGGCTGATATAGAATACAAATGGGTTTAAAAGTAACACAATGCAACATTGCAATGGTTGAAGTGATAGCCATTTGAATAAGCGGATCACTTCTCAAGTGTTGCTTATCATTGATAATTGATGATAACATGATAACTTAACATTGATGATTAATTGGCATTGTCTGAAAGTCTCTCCTTATGTCACACATTCAAATGTAAAACATTTGTTTAATTGTTATCAACAAGTTGGCTGTTATGCAGCCAATTTTGTGACGCACAGTCTGCTGTTATGCCTTTGAACGAGCATACATAAGAAAGAGATGCTTTAGTCCGAAAGGAAAATAAATCTGCATCCTAATGCAATAAAATAAAAGCTTCTCTGCATCAGAGAAACCCAAAGGCTTTTCCATTCACCAAGAAGTTTATGTGACCTTGACATTCAAGACATTTATCCCTGTATAATAGAACAATGAAATACAAACCAATGGCAAGCAAAAGTGAACAGAGCAACCATTGTAATAACCCATAAACCAACTGAGCTGGGAAACAGTACTGTAAGAAATCAGATAAAGCTTCAAGGTACGCTTTTGAAAAGTATATAAATGGTTAACATAATCAGAAAGCCATTGTTGTCATCTAATAAAAGAGCACATCGTGATAGACTGTTACAAAAGGCATTTATGTGAATCTCTCCTCTTAGATAAGTAAGCGGAGGACCTTGTCACTCTTTCAGCTATTGTTGCATTGCTTCTCTTTTACTCCTGGTCTCTTGCCTATCAATGCAATAATGAATATGTGAAAGAGCTTTTGGGTTGCTGAAGAACAAAGTGGGTGACACTGTGAAACTCAGTCGCCATGTAGCTTAATTGAGTCGAAGTCCAAAACTCCCAAGTCAAGGAGGAAATTAAAAGAAAAGTTTCTGTAGGAGTGTTGGTGAAGAATCCCAATTTTGGCTGCAGTGTGTTTTTATCACCGAGGAGTTCTTGTATCTCCCCTTCTGTCCCTGTCAGGGTCACACTGCTTTTCATTGCACCTTTTGTTGTTGGATTCTTACGAGGATTTTGAATATTGTTTTCAATAAATAGTAAGTTCCTAATGATGTTTTCTAAAACACTCTGCAATCAATCATGCTGACTGCTCTCTGTTATATTTTAAGGATTGGATGGATCAGGAATAATCTGAAAGTGTCAATACCATTCTCCTCAGCCATTATCAATATCCAGTACCGTAATCTTATAACATGTAAATGATTCTGGTGTATCTGATGTGATATTGTGCATGCCCTTAAAATATATATTTCAAAAGCAAAGTATAAATTATGAAAAAGTATAAATACTGTTCAGGTGTCATGAATAGAATATCATACAGTGAATGCACTCAATGACCAGAAGAAGTAGGTCTTACCTTTTCATTGCAACAGCAAATCGCTTTGTGTACGCATGGATTACCACGACTAGATTTAAAGACTGTCTGACTTTGAAAAAACATGATTGCAGATGCCATTGGGTCAGTTCAAGCATCACTGAGACCACAGAGTTGCTTGAATTTTTGAGAGTGACCTTTTCAAATGTAATCAAGGAACGGATCAGAACACAAGACACCACTTCAACCATTTGCTACGTGGGCAGATGGCCCTTAGTCGACAAACACAGGACATATTGGGTGGCAAAAGCCATAATGAATATCAACAGTGCTGCTTCCCCTACCGGTACAAAACTCCAGGTGTTTTCTGATGAATCACAGTTCCTGCAGCCCCAATCTGCTAGACTCCTGGTGGGTCATCAGCAACAACAAGCATTGTGTTAGTTCTGGCAGTGAACTGAAGTTGTGCGTGCCAATAGCTCATCAGCATCAGTTGCCATTTATAATCGCTGATCACACTCAAACTACATTTCCAATCGCATTCAATCAAGACAATAAAGTGGTCTTTATAATCTCACAATGTCTCTCACTTACTTGTGATCATTATGGCGCTGCTGCTGCTGGTTAATCTGTTTATTTCTACCTGCTATAAACTGCTGTTGCTGGCTGCGACGATTGATTTCTCTATCAACCACCCCAGCTTCCTCCTGTTCATGTGTCTTATCACCATTGCAGGGGATGGCATTTCTTTTCCTGCACATTATGATTATTCCATATCTCACTGATAAGGGCCTGCTGGGCTCTGTTCTGTGTAGCCCTTTAGGGTTATATTACGCTCCCTACTGAACCTGTCACTGCTGTTTGGATCATTTGGGAGCACCCTCAAGAGCAGAGTGTATTCTGCCAAAAAAGTGTGTAGTTGCAGTAAATGATACTATGCTGTGACACGAATGTCTCAGACAGAAATTAGGTGATGCATGGTTACAGCTGCACAGGCCAGTGGGAGACAGGTAATGGTTTCAGGGCCATTCAATTGGTATACAGTGGGTCCTTTAATGGCTATAGAGCGATGCCTTAATGCCAGAGCATATCTTAATATAGCAGCCAGGTTCAGCCATTCATTGCAATCATATACCCCTAAGGGGTTTGATTGGTACTTTGAACAAGATAATGTTCCCTGCCATTGTGAGAGAATTGTCTAGGAATGCATGGCTCAAGACACCTTCTGGTGAAATAACGTTAATGGCCTGGACACCACAATCCCCTGATATCAGTTTCTTTGGGAGTCAATCAAATGCAGCTTCTATAGAAAAAAGCATCCACCCATCAACCTCTGCTAGTTGTGTGAAGGACTGACACCAGAACTCGACAGGTCCCTTATTAAGTCACTGCCCAGAAGCTGTTATTCGTACTAAAGGTGGTCCAACGTGGTACTGAACAGGGTTCGGTATCAGCAGGGTAATACAATTTAATTTCAGTTTAAAGGGTCTTGATTCCGTATAAGTTTCATCCGACATTAATGAGATGAAATCTCCTGTAATGATGTACAGCTATAATGACTTAAGAATTCTCTGTATATTTTCATAAAACAAAGCGCATTACTACTATACAGATATGGAATGACGTACATCCCACTTTGGGACACTGTCGACTTTTACTTGAATTTATATGGTATTATACAGTGAAACTTGAGATGGTTGCTAAAAAAAACACTTCCAGATGAGAATCTCCAAATTGCCAGGGACTATGTTAAATGGCCTTGTTTTAGCACAGTGATGATGCGTTTCATCTCAATAGTCTCAGAAAAAGACCTAAACCTGTAAAAATGCTAATTATCCTTCAATGGCCTTAAAAGAAAAGGATCTAAGAATTTTTGTTTTTCGTTAGCTTAGAATGAGTCATTTATTTCGATATAGGGAGCGGGTCTTCTTCACAGGGTCCACCATGTTGCACCACTCTGTTTCTGCAGTAGCCCAGAACAGACAAGCCAAACACTGGCTCTAGAGAGAGACTTTTGCATTTTTACTGCAGGGGCATTCAGTTGGATGCAATCTGCAACCTCCCCGCTAGATGCCACTTAACCCTACACACTGCTCCTTTAAGGACAAATACTACAATTTGAGACACAGAGCTTTCAACAACATATACATTGTAACTCACTGCTGTTGTTCAAACTCCCAGCAATGTAATGAAATAGCCAAACTGGGCTCCACCAGTAACAAGATTCAACATTTGAATACAGCATACAGTGTCAATATTTTGTCACTCTGGAAGGAAACATTCTAAGCCACATATTGCTGCTAATATCTATTTACGTTTATTAAATAAGATTTTGAATTCAGGAATGGTAATGGGTTATTCCTCCATTTTGGTTTTCACAGTATCAGAGAACTGAATGAAGTGAATTGAATGGGTTCTTTCCATTCACTCCATTCAATTCTTTAATCCCATTGACAGGCAGGTGATTGATTAATCCATTGTGCTACCGACAGAGTATTTATTAAAGCATGTACATTGGTAACATTTTTCTGCAAAATAACACCAAAACAACATATTGCAATGTGCTAACATAAACAAGAATCGTAAGACCTGTTGGGTCATCTCAAAGTTATTTTTTTCCTAACCCTAATACCATTTAATACATCTCTTGAGGTCTATTGTGGTGTTTTACTTCTTCCTTTTTACAGGAGTCCTTCACTTTCCAAGTATGTCCTTGGCCTATTGTTATTCAGACGGAATTAGATAAGCACCATTAAGACGTGTCTGTAAAAGATTGTTTAAACTCTGTTCTATTTCAGGCCTGTCTGAGCCAACAACATTTGGGACGTTCTCAGGAAAAGATGTTCCATCACAGATCGCCTCGAATGGACACATCATGAGACTGGAATTTCAATCTGATCATTCTAATACTGGAAAAGGCTTCAATATCAGCTACACCAGTATGTGCTACCTACCTACCTACCTACCTGTCTGTGTCTGTCTGTTGATTAGATTTACTGACATGTAAAACGTATACAATTTCTTAGAGGAAGAAAAAGGGCGTATTGATAGATGCAAAGGTTTGTGACAGTGTGTAATCATAAACAAAGACACATAAAAACTGAAAACAATAGTTGTCTATTATCCAATGCAGCTGCAATATACACTGTTTTGAATAAGGGAAGATGTTCTTACCTTTTCTTGAAGCACTTGCCATCTCTGTCTTGCTGTGTTGTTGCTATTCTTCTTGACTGATTGGTATTTGTACTCAGCTCCACAGAATTACAAGTCCTACCTCTAATCCTAATGCAAACCATTTTCTCCTTAATCCTAACACAAATGAAATGCACCATTGGAAGCAGAAATATGCCATTAGAGTCTCTTTACCCTCACAAACATTAATGTACAGAAAGTCTCTTTATAGTAACCTTGACAGTTGTAGAGGAAAGACAAAAAACACAATTACTGTTGATAAATACCCAATTTAAAAAAAAACATTTAACTTTCAGTCATATCATTTTTGTTGATGAAACATTTTGAGAATGCAATTTAAATTTGTCATACACATTAACATAGTAACTTAAGAAAGACAGATCAGGCATCTGTGCGCTGTTTCTCTAATTTGGCATTTTAATGCATATATGAATATCAATTGGTATTGCTCTGAGTATATATCAGTATCTGTTTATATGAATAATGTTGTGTAATGTAAATATAAACTTTGACACACCGTAATAAATGTTATTCATTTATTAGTTTAAATTTAGGGCAAATATCTGTCACGTCTAAAGATTTACTTCATCGTAATGACAGCTATATTTAATGACATCAATGCTATATTTGGATAAGGGTGTTTTTAAATAGTGATTATCACTGTTGTATTGTTTACAAAACCTCACTATTACCTCATTTAAGAACATGTATAGTTCACATAATTTACTATCCACAAATGATTGTGTTTCTATAACAAATACATATTTTCTTTTACTCAATTATGAAATTTAAGCCATACAGTTATATGAACAGTTATGATTCTGCTGTAATGCATCCCATTGTTTGTGATGGACTGCATTAACCACAGTGCATTGCTGAGCCGCTCTGAGCACGTACTGTATCAATTGGTGTAAAATGACTACAAAACACTTGGAACCAAGAAACAAGAATTCATTGTACACTAGGAAAACCCCCTTGAAAAATCACACATTGCCAGTACAAAGCTACACCTCGCTATGCCCTCACTTGACAGAGCCCTTTTACACTTCATTTCCAACATATTGCTGTCAAAGTTAGAGGTCATTTCTTCATTTCTCTCGCTGTCCCATCACTGTTATTGTATCTCCGCCAGGAGAAACACACACAGTCAACTCCAGGCTTTCAGGGAGCTCGAGGCTGCTGGCGCATGGAGCGGAAAATACAAGGCACTCAGCAATACGAAAGCAGCGCGCAAAATGCTTCACTCTCATTGAAAACAATTGCAAGAATCTGACCCGATCTGCTAAAATTCGTTTTGTCTGATCGGGGCCTTGTCCTGCCATTGACTGTGCTTGCTGCGTGAATGCTTACTCCTCACTCACTACTCTTAAAGAGCTGGTCCCCAGCCGCTGCTCTACGGCCAGACACACAGTGGAGGAAAACAATAGACTATATTTCTCTGGGTAAAACATTTTGCTCACTTTTATTTTTGAACAGTATGTTAGGCTAACGAAACTACACACACAGCTGACTGCATCGCAGCCACTCAGCCGCTGCTCTGTGTCAAGAGACACAGTTGGTCTGTGCCTTTTTGATGGGCATCAACCTCCTGTTTATACGCATATTGTTGAAGAAAATAGACTTACGCCTGTGAGACAGACCGAAGAGAGAGTTGAAGATGCACACCTTTACAGAGCCAGCGCAGACATCTGCATTGATTCAAATTTAAAAAGAGAGCGTATCTGTTGAGTTGTGTCAATTCAGTCATGCAATATAGCCATTGTAGACACACCTTGCGGAGATCTGCACTCAACTGAATGACAGTGTCTAGTACTGTATTTTTTCCCCCCTTATTTTCGAAACCATCATATTGATCTCCATCTTTCACACAGGCTTCTTCTCTGTTGCTTTGCTTGTCCATTCACACACAACCTTGTTTCACACTTCCTTTATCTGAAACAGTCACAGCACAATCTTTCTTCTCTCTTCTCCTAGTTAACACGTATCATTTGAATATTTTATGTATTGTCATTTTGTCTGTTTTCTCATATGTATGCACCCCTCTCATCTTTTTATCCCTCCAATCTGTTCCACTACTTTCACATACTATGACTGGTGTGTGAAAGTTTGCATGGTTTTTGTTTGCCTTTGGTTTTTTTATGCAGTATGTGTGCGCATGTACAATCAAATGTGTTTGCATTCATCTGGTGGTCTATGTAATATATGTGCAGATATTTTGCCCTTTCCTCTCTTGCTCTCATTTTTTCCATCTATCTTTATTTTTCTCTGTCTGCTCTCATTTCCTCTCCATCAGCAGCTAATCAACCTGAGACATGTCCAATCACTGGGCGTGTGCTCTGGGTGGGATCAGGTTCATCTCTGGAATAGGGATGATATAAGCTAAACATGACAGGGTTGAATCCACGTGAAGATAATTCCATTCCCATATTTCCATATCAGTAGAGATGTCACATTTACTGACAGTGATTTTCAAACTTTTTTTTTCTGGTAGAACCACATTTCCGTTATTCAAATAAATTGAAATACCTTGTTGTTCAAATTATCAAATATGCACATGTATTCTGAACCACTCCAACAATTCAAATATCCATGCTATGATCGGTAGGCACAATGTGTGTTTTTTTCTTTTTTATCTGTCACACTTTCTTTGTTCTCATTCAGTTGCAAAGAAATTTGGCTTTGTTTCGGTTAATTTAGTTCTTTGTCTGTTGGCTGCTATTTTAACTTTTCTCTCACTGTTATTTCTCTGTAGCATTTGGGCAGAATGAATGTCATGACCCAGGAGTTCCTGTCAATGGTCAAAGGTATGGTGATCAATTTCAGCTCGGCAGCTCTGTGGCTTTTCGCTGTGATCAAGGATTCATTAGGACACAGGTAAAGATCCGATATCTGTGTTAATCTACTATAATAAGGTGTTCACACAACATAAATACAGATGTTTATTAGAAGTATTAACATTATTAGCATGCCTATTGGGTGTTTGTAATATCAGTCGTAGTAAAATGCTATTTACTCCCCTGTACTTAATTTGTCTCTGTATAAAAAGTACTTGATTTACTTTATATTTATGTTAATTTCTTGATTTTGTTATTTTTTTCTGCTTGTATCTTATCTTAAAATAAGTACTATACCTAAGTATCACTTTTTCCAGGGGTCTGATCAGGTCACTTGCATCATCCAGGATGGAAATGTTGTGTGGTCGGCGGCTGTACCTCGCTGTGAAGGTAAACACAACAGTTTACTTTGTACATGAGCAATGGGCAATTATTGAAAATGTTGGACTTGCCAGAATATAGGGTGACAAAGCAGCTTAAGTGTGCTTATAGAACTTAGGCATTTCACTACATTTCCTCCTCTAATTGCTTTAGCCCCCAGCCTCCCCACACGTATTCAGCTTGTTTGCACGCATCTTTCACTCTCAACAATAATCTTAAATGAAATTGGCACAAATTCTGCTGAAACTAATTCAGGGAGATGCATTCAGTATATGCAGACTCCAATATACAGAGATGTATCCGTAGTGTGCAGATATGCTACTATTTAGAAGTAATAATAAATGGACAGCAAATGTGATTTTATTTTTATACTTTTTAAAGGGGAATGTTATCCACTGGCCTGTGAGAATTTGTATGTCTTTTTTTGTATCCCCTCCATCTTGATTGTATTGTCTAAATGACATTATCAAATGTTGGCTGTTGTTAATAAATGGGATGGACGAGACAATCCAATTGAATAGGGCTGTCACCTTATTAAATATGGAGTATGGGAAAATATTATCCCTCCCATTGGACGGGGAAGGATAATTATGTTTTATTTCTAGAATTACTTTCCCTCGTCCGTCCCATCCATGAGTACCACGGCTTCAGTGTGCACAAAGCGGGTAAAAGAAAAGTAATTTTCTTTAGCTTGCTGAAAATCTGGAGTTATGTTATCATTCAGAAGGATGAAGGTATCAGCAGCTTGAGAACAGAAGAAGCATACGAGTGTAAAAGACAAGCCATTGCAAATTACATATCGGAGGAAGAGCACTGGATAATAAAAGGATCATGAACACCAGGTCTAAAGTTTATTTAAAGGATGTTACTATACGTGCTAGACAGGCCAGTCCAAAACTCAAATACAGTAACAAAGTTATTAGGTATTTTATTTATATGGATTCTAAACTCAGCTGAAGCTAATTCATGCATTTGAATGTGCTGTGATTTAGATTTTTGGACTTTTACCTATAAAGTAGACCTGCCAGCTATGCACAGTTCTTTGAGTTGCAGGAAATGAGGATCTGTTTTCTGGCATTATTTGATCCATAAATATATTTGATTTGCTGTATAAATGATCACGCTCTAATTATTTTTGCCTTTTCCAACATGAGCAACTCAAATGTGTGTACTGTAGCACAAGATTGCCACAGCATATTTTCTGAAGGTAAATGTTTACGTATGAGCTCTATAAATTTAGAAAGGATTCGAGAGCTAACCGAAATTGGAAAGATGATGAATCTGCTAACTCAATGTGATATGAGCGTTGTGCTCATGCAATAATACTGTTGCAAGAAAAAGTGATTAATTTCTCTCCCTCTGTGGTTGTGTGTTTATTTCCCTGTAGCTCCATGTGGAGGCCACCTCACAGCTCCTACTGGTGTTCTGCTGTCTCCTGGTTGGCCCTCCTTTTATAAAGACTCTCTGAACTGCCAGTGGGTGATTGAAGCACAGCCAGACCATGCTGTGAAGATACACTTTGACAGGTTAGTGATTTGGTTATGTAGGCATAGAGAGGTTTGTTTAGGTCAGTTTCTCAGAATACTTGTCAGATTGTCAGTAAATGGATAACATGGTCATCTTGAAGCATGTCCGTTTTTTACACATTACATTATTAAGTTAGTCAGTCTATTAGTTGGTCAGTCTTTCTGAAACATTGTTAATCAGATATAGATGTGGTTGTTGAGTTACTGCTGCAGTAAATAATTGATGTTGGCCTTTTGCACATTTTTCTCTGGAAACAAGCCACAGGCAGATGCAATGTAGCCTGAAATTGCTAAAGCTGAAATTTGACTTTTGGGGAATTGACGTAAAGGCAAAATTATCCTCATCGCCTATGAGGCAGGTCATTCTGAATTTGCACTGCATGTAAATGTCCTGTGCTGAGGCTAGTTAATTATTCCGTTGGCTGGTTAGAGCAGTATGTGGTTTCCAACTCTTTGTTGTCTATCCAGGACAGGTAGTTCATTGCATTAATGTGATATTTTTCTTCTAAATCAGTTACTACTGTAATTTAAGTTTAAAATGATAACCAGCACCACTAACGGTTTCAAGATTAAAACTGGTTCTGAGTGCCCTTCAGACACAACTGTTGGTAATTGCAGGCAGAGACAAAAGTGTCCAGCTAGTTAGCTATAAAAGTAGTTATGTGGTTGTTTAAGTGCTCAGTTATTGAAATTAGCTGGTAGAATGTGAGTCAATCACTTTTGTTAGCACTGGGTTACATTGGCTGGTGTTTGATGTACACTGCACACATATTATGTATGCCTTATGAATGTTATCTCTGTGTATGCCAGGTTATTTTGCATGTTTTCTTTGTTGTTTGTGTGTCTGTCTAGGTTCCAGACTGAGGTCAACTATGACACACTGGAAATCAGGGATGGCCCCTCAACCTCTTCTCCCCTCATCGGTGAATATCACGGCACCCAAGCGCCTCATTTCCTGATTTCCACATCCAACGTCCTGTTCCTGTTGTTCACGACAGACAACAGCCGTTCTGCGGTGGGCTTCAGCATCAGATATGAAAGTAAGGCCGATTGACTGACTGATAGAAATGTTTGGTAGACACAAGATGAATTACTTGCTGGTACTCATATGCAGCAACATTTCTTTGTCCAAAAATGTGTGATTACCCCCTCCACACACACACATTCACCCTCTTGACTTGTGGTATTTCTGCTTGTGTGATGTGATTTTCAGGTGTGAAAATGGAGTCAGACGCTTGTCTTGATCCTGGTATCCCAGTCAATGGTCGTCGCCAAGGCAGCAACTTTTTCATTGGCTCCCGTGTCTCATTTACATGTGATCTAGGATACTCACTGAGTGATCAGGAGCCAATTGTTTGCGAGCACAATCATCAGTGGAGTCACGCTCTTCCCAGTTGTGATGGTGAGAATCTTTCTTTCTTTCATTTTTTGCACTCTTGATGAAAACCTATAGTGAGTGGAAACCTTTTGTGTCCTTTATCCAAGAATTATGTGATAATGTGAGGAATGCAGTCACTTGATGGTGTTCCAGCACTGCACAATAACATAAAGAATTATTGACTATGACGACTATCATTTAGGTATTTTCTTCAGATCATCCATTCCTCCATTATCAATATTGTAGCTGCTTATTTAATTTTAGTCACACTTAAAATATTTAAAGTAAATTGGCTTCTGACTTGTTTTAGCTGAGTTGCTGATGGTGACTGAGATATTAAAATGCCAGATTGCTGTCACCTTGGACTCGTTTTACCTGTGACACTGATCCCAAAGACAAGACATGAGGCAGATGCAGTTCGAAGTCACTCCATTTGGTACTCAGGCAGGCTTACATTTGGCAAAGAGTGACCAGCACCAAAGTTATGCTTACACGCATAATTGCCTCTGCTTTACCACAGTTGTATTGTCCACAGTAAACAACTATTTGCAATTCCCTTTTGGAAGCCACTAGCTGTGTGTTTGTTGTGTGTGAGATAAGTTGGAAGGTATTGCAGTTTCATACAATACTTAAATATCACAATACAGACAAATCAAATGACTTTACATGTCAAATTCAAACACAAGGTCCAAGCAATCTACCATCTAAAATTACTAAACAACCTGGTAATTCGGCATTATCAGGTAAGCGGTATGCCTGCATTAATGCACGCTTGCTGTTTGAGGGTTTTATAGTCCTCTTCATTTTTCCACTAACTGATTTGGGATGGTCCTGAACATGATGGTCCCCTCTTCATGGACATAAAAACAGAAGTGGAGTGAGTAGAGCGATGTGGCTGAAAAACAGTTGAGTCAGAGTCAGTGAGGAGAGCAGAGGGAGGTGCAGGTGTTCCTATAAGTAACTTTTTTCCCAGTCTTCTGCTTTTTTTTCCATTTCATTTGGTGTAACTGGCAGCCATAGTGTTAATTGTACAATCTATCCCCACTCCAGTGAATACACTAACAAAATGGTCCAAGTTGGACATCCAGCCTCAGTGAAATTATGCAGGTCAACAGGCACTACTGAAACAGATGCTCACTGACCATCGCAGGCCTTCTCATTCAGCATTTGCCCAAAGCTCACACTATCATGGGAGATGAATACACAGCGTCTGATGATTCATTCTACCGATTGAAAAGAATCCAATTTGAAAGCCAAAGTCAGGATGTCTCAACTTGGGAGTGAGTTCATACCGAGGCAATCTATCTCACAGTCTCAGCCATAAGCAGTTTTAAACGGCCACCGTGACATTTTCAATTTTCAGCCAAGCATGCCATCTCACCAGACAGCTGTTACATTACAAGACACACTATTTCAGAACAGCACTTTTCTAAAATGGTGTGTAAGCCTTGACTAGAATATAATACATCATAGTTTGCTTTCAGAGAAGATCATAGGACCAGAATTATGTGTCAACTATGTTTTACCATGACTGGATTTTTGATTAATCAGATAATCATTGACTTTCAGTTTACCTAATGTACATGTTGATTGGCGGTGGGAGGAAGACAGAACGAACACACGCAAACACAGAGAAAACTTGGAAAGTCCACTGGAAAAAAGTTGGACATCAATTTAAAGGAGAAAGGCAGTCATCTTTAATAACTCCCACAACAATACTCAAAGCAACTCATACACACACATGGACACATTAACGACAATGATCTTATTTACAGTACAGTCTCAGAGGCACAGTTAACATTTCAACAGGAAAAGACAGCCTTTTTCTGCCATACCGACTGCATTACGCAGCCACCAAAATTCATTATTTTGACAATATTGTGTCTAAAAGAAAAAACAAAATGACATGTAGTTCCCCCGCAGGCGTGCAGAGATCGTTCCCTTTCAGTAATGCCGCAGTGTCTATTGGACCCAAACCGCTCGTCTTATTCCTGCAGGTCAGCTAAATCGCCAAACAGATAATACAGAACACTGGCTGCTCTTTTATGTGTCAGGGAGAATATAGAAGGGGCGCAGTGATATTTTAAAGCTTGCAGTTGGTGCCAGGACAACAACTTGTTAGAAGTGACCAAAGTCAAGTATCCCAAAGAAAAAAATGCAATGGCATCTTTTAAGAGGGAGATAATTAAAGCTTGAGAAAAACACGGAGGCAAGAAAGAGGAGGGAGTGTGCAGCTGAAGTCTGATGCTGTATGATATGTTTCTGTATTTACCTCTCTCCTGTCTGAAAAACAAGCTATCTTTCTGTGTGCACCCTAACAGGCAATAGATACAGTGAGCGCACAATGAGGTGCACACGTGCCTCCCTCAACAAGGGTCATTTTGTCAGACAGTGTCCTAGTTTTAGCAGAATCATGATGGGAGTGAGAAGAAACTGGTTGTCGCAACACACACAAGACTGCTAGTCAGATAAAGAGTTGGAGAGCGACTCTCATCACAGCTACTCAACTCAAGCTCTGTTGAAATGATATAATAGAGATGGAAGGAAAGACATTGACAGACAGAGAGATGTGGAGGGTGGAGAGGCGGAGACACAGAAGTTCTCTTTAAACACACTGGAATAGCTGCAGTGTGAACAAATAAGAGAAGCTTTAAAATCTGTCTCATAAAGTGTAATTAAAAAAAGAGCATATTCCCAAATCACCAAATGAATCATCACACTGTTTATTTTAGGAGATAAAAGGGAAATCCGTGCACCAATATACTGTGTG